TAGATTCTTAAAAAAAAAAAAAAGCATGATCTTGCTAGGCATTTTTGTGTTTGCTTTTCATCAACTTCCACCTGGGCCCAATGAATTGCATGCTTTGCTGGGCAGAGTCAACCAAGTGAAACAAGAGAAACAGTCTATAAGTAAGAAATCACATGACTCATAGATGTCTTTATTTTCATTATAGATAAAGAAATCAATTTAAATGTCCAGTACAAGGTTCAGGACTACTGTGATTTTGCTTAGTAGTATTAACACCTTTTTTTTTCTGCTTTTCATCTCTGTAGCTATTATGATTAAGGTTCAATATAAGTTATAGTTTATCCCTTAGAAGTTACCCCGTCATTTAAATTTCAGATATTGTCTGATTTTACTTGAGTCAAGAATTTATATCAAGGTAATTGATTCCACTTTCTGTGTCTTTTACTCTCTTAAAATTGAAGGTATTCATCTTTCAAAATTTTCTCTACCAATTTGACTCAATCAGTATTCCAATTCTATGGGTTTTAAACCCATAGCTAGAAAGAGCCTCAAGGAATAAGTTAGTACTCTCATTTTGTTAATAATCCTTTTCTTGAACTTCAGTGGTACTTAACTGCATTTTTTGTTTGATCCTGCTGCGAAGAGGTCTAGTGTAATTGCATTAGAGTCACTGTTATTTAATGGTTTGAACTAATGTATTTCAGAACTCAGTTGGCTGTATTGGAGAAGACTAGGTTAGATTCAGCCTTGGTTTACTCTGCTCTAAAAAATACTGCTCCGTATAAACATACTCACTTTAGTACCAAACATCTACTTATTTTCACAAAACAAAAGCTTTGGGAATTTTGATGTTTAGTCAGTATTTGTTGAATCCCCTCGGCCAGCTGATAGTACAGAAACCATATAAATCACAGCACAAATAATTTTATGACTAAGGATAACTTGGTAAGTATGCAACATAGACTCAGAAAATGGGCAGGCTAACTTCAGTATACTAGCAATAAATAATTATCTCCACTTACTACTCAGACCTTTTAATGGCTTTAAAAAATATTTTAAATTACTTTTATAACTGTTTACAGAAGTAAGAACAAAGGGAGAGTGAAAATTGTGATAAGAACTTTAACATAGCAAAGCTAAATGTTTATTGCATTAATTCCCTGGATCAAAAAGGAACTATCTGCTCATCAGCTATCGTGCATAAATCTGTAGTGTATCCATTTGTAGATATCAATTCCAGATTTCAAACGCAAGTGTAATAGGTTCTAGCATATTATTACTCCTGGTTTTTTAAGAACTTGCATCATCAAAATGCAACAGTTGAATTTTTTAAGTCTTTGATGGCTCAATATTTTCGAAAAAACAATGTAATGTCATCTTTATTCCACAATTGAAAAATATTTCTATTTTTAGGTATGCTTTTCATTTTTTATATTAAATTTATTGGGGTAACATTGGTTAATAACATTATATTCCATTGTGACCATTAATTAGAATAATAAATCCAATGATTATTTTCATTTATATATTTTCAACTTCCTTCTGATGCCTGCCTTCACATTTATTCAGCATTTGTGCCCTTAAACACCATACATTTTAGCACACAGATTTTATAAAAGATGAAAGATTACTGTAGCATGCCCTTTTAACAAAATCCTGGGTTCTTGCTCCAGCATATTGCATGATAAAATCCTTCCACTTGAGGCACTAATTAGATAAAAATACCATATTTCCTTTTTTTGTCCTTTGAAATGTATTGTTTGCTCATAGTTTCTTGTATTTGAAAAAAACTCACTGTCATTTGAAAGTTTATAGTCTGAGATTTCACTTGAATGATGAGTTTCAATTTCACCCTAATCATTAAAGTGTAGTGTAGTGCTCTGTCTTTTCGTATTTATCTTCTGATTCCTCTAATAACTGAACTATCTTCCTCTGTTGGTTTTCTTCTCTTTGCAGTTATAGATAAAAAATAAAAATTTTAAGTTTTAAATTGTTCAGTGGAACTAAAAGTAGACTGTAGAAATGTCTTCAGTCTTCTTTCATGCCTTCTTGAATGATGATGCAATACTTCAGTCAGCACAATCAGAAAACTGAATGATGGGATGATGCTGATTTATTTTGCTATTGTCTCATCCTTCTAGGCAATTCTGTCATTGTTCTGTTTTTTAAATATTTTAGTCTGTTGGTTTTTTTTTTATCATTGTTGGGAATAAGTGATGAGTAGTAATGAAATAATTCTTAAGTTAATGAAATAGAAATATTCAAAATATTGGCCAAATAAGATCATGACTATTCTATACTATGTCCTGAATTTTTAAAATTGCTCAATGATGCCACATGGTAATTACAAGACAGAATGAGTTTTATTCTGTTTCAAAAATAAGTAAAGGTTTCTTTGTCCCATGGAAGACCTATAAAAAAAATAAGACAAGACATATCAGTCTCTATAAACAGCTACAATTCCTCAAAAAAAAATTAAAAACTAAGATTGGCTGCAATGGGGACAGTCCCCTGAGAACCAATGGAGAGAACATAAACATGAGGGTTCATACAAGTCAGGATTTACATACTTTGCCTGTGTTTTTAAGTTTCTTTGGGGTCTCAGTTTTTATATAAAATTTATTTCTTAAGGACTTCAAAATAATAAGGTAAAATAATATATACACATGTCCTCCCTCCATATTTCTTTGCTCTCCCTTTTACAATGGAAGTTTACTGAAAAATGATAGTGCTTCTAGTGTGAAAGATGAGAGAGGATCTTAAGAAAGAAGTAAAAATTGAAATTGAGGGATTGATAGCATATGCCTATGTGAAATTAAGAATAGAGATATACAAGGCTGAAGAGATCATAATTAAGGTACATAATCACAATATCTTGAAATGTTCTTTTGTAACTACCAGTTGTTGAGCACTTACTCTCTGCTAGGATCTTAAAATAATTTTATTTAATCCTTCTGAAACCTTGGGGGGGTGTATTACCATCCTTGTCTTATAGTAGAGAGAATTGAGGTACAGAGAACTTAGGTGTTTTGTCCAGGCACACACAATGCAGATTCAAACTTAGGCCCGCCAAATTCGGAAGCCCTCAATTAGAGTAAGACCAAATCTCCCTGCTTCCCACAACGTAGATGGGAAACTGCAGGTGGTTCACTTTGGTTGGAATCAGGGAACCTAGAAAGAGAAACAAAATTGGAAACATTGTGCAGGATAGTTTGGAGAGAATGGAATTGGAAAGACAAGTTCAGGTTAAGTCCAAAGAGAGGAGGTAAAGCTTGATCTTAGGAGATGGGATGCAGAGGATTATGATGATTTTAGAGATATCACAGATGTAAAATCATGGAATTTATTATTACAGATATCAAAGGAGAGGAAAGTAAAAGATTATTCAGAGATTATTGGCCTGAACAAAATGATGCCCTAAGTAGGGAGTAAAGGAAGAGAGTAGATCAAAATTCACTGGAGTAGGTGGGGCTGGAAAAATAGGGGACTTTGAACTCATCACCTATTAAAGCCACACATGATAGTCCATTGCAGAGGGAAATATATGAAGGTTCCCATCCAAACATTATTTGTTAAGCACCTGTTAAATACCAAGTTTAATACCAGGTATTTTCACACATTTCACTCATTTAATTCTCACAGCAAACTCAGATAATAGGCAGATAATCAGGTGTGGCTTTTCAGGGAGAGGTCAGTGTGGAGATGGGTGAGTGAAGTAAGTCAGTGCACAAGTACTGACTACCTTCTTTATGTGCTTCAGTCCTAGGCTGAGCACAGTAAAGGATGTCAGAATACTAAAAGATGATCCCTAATGTTAACAAGTGGAGTGAGTGTATGGCTACTTGAAAAAGAAAAAGCAACTAATAAATAATAGAAAACGTTTAAACTTGAGAGATTGCATAATACAGACACTAAACGTTACAAGTTTCAGAGGAGAGACATCTGTAATTCCTGATGCCAGAGATGATAACATGCACCTAGAATTTGAAAGATAGATAATATTTGCCTAAGTGCTAAGGAGTAGATAGGGCTTGCTTTGCATATGAAGGAAAATGAACGAGAATGACATGACAGTGTGTGAAATTGATGTGTTTATCAACAATGAGGATATCAGGCTGGCAAGAGGATAAATTAAGATTAGAAAACATCAGGAAATAAGAAGTGATAAATTTGTGGTGACAGATTACAGACACTTGGTCAATCAAGCAAAGCTGATGTTTGGCATGGAGGAGAGTCTTTGAAAGATTTTAAATAGAACAATGACATGAGACCGGCATTTCCGAGAGTGTGATCAGGCAACACTCTGCTTCAGTAATTGGAAATGAGATAGGATTTGTGAAATATTGCTAAAGTTGATGAGTCTAAAACATGGTGAGAAAGGAAGGAAGGATGAATTTTAAGCCATTGTTCGTGGAGATGGTAAAGGGAACAATGAACCAGTGACTTAAGAAATTAATGTTGCAGCTCAAAATGCTACAGACTATTTTGACAATTTAAATTCATACATGTGGTAGAAATTTAAATGAGATCCAGACAGAAATGAGAAGAATGAAATATGTTGACTATATTAAAAACACGTGCAGTAAGGAAAGTGCTAGAATCGGACCCCTTTATAACCTAAAGTGGGGCGATAGCTTCTGTTCCTTCTTTGGCTGATTTCTCTTGTTGTTTTGCATTGTTTTATTTTTACTTTTCATGGGTAGCCAGCTCATGCACAGATGTGTCAGGCAATGAGAATGGCTAGTTAGGCACAGAGGCCCCAGGGTCAGACTGCATGGCCTCAAATCCAGGCCCTGTCACTTGCTTGAATATGACTCAGCCAAGTTCATCAAGCTCTTTAATCCTCCATTTCCTCCTCTGGCCAATAAGGTTGCTAATAAGAGCATTGCAGAATACACGAGCTGATGGCAAAGTGAAACTTAACACCCTTGTCTCTCTTGAGTGTTGGCTTTTCTTTACCGATTGAACACCTACTTAGGAGTTGTTTCAAGTAGAATTTTGTTAGGAATAGGAATTCCTTTTTTTCAGAACCACATTTACAAGTAACATACCAGATCAATTCTGCCCATGCAAGCCATCTGATGTCTTCTAGCCTTGGCTCTACTATCTATAAAATGTGGCTAATAATAACGTAATTGATAGTGTTATATTGGAGATGATATGAAAAAAATCCTGCATTAGATCCATACAACAAGTTGGGTTTAAGTGTCTTCTAGATGAGCTCTAAGAACTACATTAGATTCTGTGGGTACAACAGTTAACAACTATGCATAGTGCTGACTTCTTTAAAATGGGATAATAGACATTACTTTATGGGGTTTATGTATGGATTAATTCATGCACACAGACACACACTTAAAATATCATCTGACTAGGGTAAGCATAAAATGCCCTATTTAAGTGTATGGTGGTGGTGATGGTGGTGGTGTGACCAAATATAGCAAAATTGTGGTTTTCTACCAACCACTCCCTATATTTTCTGATTCAATTACCATATATATATATATATATATATATATATATATATATATATATATGTATGTATATATATATATAATTAACATTCTCTCCCTAGTAATTCTTTCTTTTCTTCCTTATATATATTTGACTTTATATACTTTTCTTCCTTATATAAAAGAGACATTTGCCTGTAAATCCCTATTGCCTTGCCAGATACGTGACATGTTTATTAAATTGAATTAATGATATATAATATTTATCTCAAAAAATATTGATGATCATACCAGAGCACCTCTCTTTATTCATTCTTAGAAATAATCTTGTTATTTTAAAAAGTTGACAGGTTTCTACGCATTGCAAATAGGCCCTGTGTAAAGATTCTTAAAGGAGTTATTGGCACTATCTCCAGAGACAGAGGCTCAGAATTAACAAAGCCAGGTTTGCTGTGTGCATTATGAACTGCAGGCAGCATACAGAATTAGACAGAAGTGACAGAAAAAAAGGAGAGAGTCTACACTTAATTACAGGCATGCACAGTTCCTGGGTTTGGCATGCCCCCATGGGAGTTGCCTTCTGATTACTTGAAGCCTATGGAAGTTGCTAAAGATAAATGTATCAGATTTTCATATTTGTCTCAATCAACCCATTAAACATTCTAGTCACTATAAATAGCTAGAATGCACACAGAAATAGGTGCAAGCACTTCTGAGTGGCTGTGATTCCTACGAGGCTGCTACCATTGTCTCAGTACATTAATGTGATAACAGGCTTTAGGTTTGGGGAGAATGCTAGTAAATAAGACCTCTCCCCATAAAGAATGCTCATATGACTTTATTTTCCCTGTGTTCATTAAAGGGAGCAAAATGAAGACGTAAGATTTCACTTTTTCACATTCGCAGAATTTTGTCTCCTACCCTTTTGAAAGAGGTGCCAGGTTCTGGAGGAATATCTTTGCTTTGACAGAGCTTCCATTAAAGTGTTGTTTTGGTCTAGCCTTGTCACTATAAATGGTATGGACCCGCTGCTCTCAGACAAGAATAAATTCCTTCTCAGGTAACCTACTGGGACTATTCAAAGCATGTTATAAAGTAGTCTGAAAATGAACAAACAATACAGAGTAATTTGATTTGCTGCATGAGAAGCAAGAAAAATTAAGACCTAATCAAAGAATTACCAAACTAATTAGGTGTTATTTATTAATGTGTCATGTCTTATAGTAATCTTATCTGTCAGTTTACATGCCAGAGTGAAGATTAAAAAAGCAGTCTAGTAATCATGTGACTATATTCCCCTAGTGCTATTCTAAGGTTCATTTGGGTGGCCTAGTAGAATAGAGAATCTAGGATTTTGTACCGATTCAAATGAATGCATATTTCTTATACCTTTTCTTAAACAGGACTTATTTTAAACATGGAAATAATATGTAGATCCCATACCCATTTTGTGTAACTATTGTAGACTAAGTACTTTGGTATAATTACTTTCAAAGAGACCTATTTGGTAAATGAATGTTCCTCATCCATAGCTTTTGCTCCTATATAGGGTGTTTGCATAAATTGACAATAATGAATTTTGCAATATTAACACTAATGTTATAATTTATAGATTGTTCAGTTGCTCAGTAATTTTGATCAGTTTTATGACTGCTAGTCTAGCCCAGTATATTTTACATTTTGATTTTCTAAAATAGTCTATGTTGAGGCAATAATACTGTTATTTCTACACAGTAGTAACAGTTATTCCACGCTTAAAGACAATAAATTTTGGTTATTTTTATCCTCATCAACGTCCAGTTGATATGCTCAAAGTCATTCTCATAATCATTTTCCCAGCAGTTACTGAATTCCTAGTATGTACTTAGTTCTATGGTCATAACATGCGTTTCAAAGCAGAAGGCGGTAACAAGCTAGATGGAGATGGCTACAAATAAAACAATGCACAGTAAGTATAAAGCAGGTGGTGGAGAAAAATGGGAGAAGGTGCTAATTAAGCACTCAGTCATATGATGCCCTTTTTACTCACTATGAATGTCTAGACAGGAGAAGACCACAGAGGTTAGTTAGGTCAGGCGTCGCAAAAGTGTGGTTCTAGCATTTTGTTAATGATTATGTTCAGCTTTATCGTGAATATTATTATTAATTGCTTACAATGAGTTCAGTATTTATTCTTATTTAGGTGGTCAATTTTTTTTTATCCCCAGAGGGGAGAAAAAAGGTGATATAATAAGATGTACTTTTTTTAACAATACCAAGTGAGAAATCAACACAGGGTAAAAACTGAACAAAGTAACATCCCCCATGTAATGTTATCTACCCCACTGTGTGTCCTTTCAAATTAGACCCCATTACACTTTAGTGTCTGTCTTTTGTCATTACACTTAATTATTTATTAATACAGGATATCACTCACATCTCCACTACTCTATTTTAGTGAGTATTTCTGCTATATGATTGATATGCCTCTTTCCCGAAGGAAAAATTGTTATCTACAAACCACTTTCTATTGAAACCATCCTCAGTGTTTAGGTAATAAGCATGTGTTTAGTAGACAAGACTCATTTGTAGCCTTTGGAGTTTCCTATACAAAGTGAGAGAAAATGAGGGCCGGCTGAGTGGCTCAGTTGGTTAAGAGCTCACTCAAGAGTTTGACCTCTGAGCAACAGCGGTTTGAGTCCTGGACTGAGCTGAGCAGCCACTGAACTGCCAACAGGTGGCAGGATGGCTCAGCTAAAATAAATTAAAAAAATAATAATAATAAATAAATAAAGTGAGGGAAAATGGACAGAAAAAAGGCCAAATTGTCTTATTGAAATACCCTGTGAAAATAAACTGATTATTTAATATTCTCTCATATGGCAATTGCATCAGTTTAAACCTTTTCTATTTTCTATTGTTCATGACAATAATTATATTAATAATGATTTTTCTCTCAAAGGTCTCAGAGGAATATTATTATTTTTTGTATAATTATAAATAGCCTCCTGGCACATGCTGGATAAGCAGTGTGTATTTTTTTTAATGAGAAAAATTGTGTATCAATTATACACAATTTAAAACAGGAAGAGAAGTTGGATGACTTTCAAATGTGTTATTCAAATGAGAATATATTTGTAAATTTAATTGTGGTGTTAAGCCTATTAAATAGTAATTATTAACATGTTCTCATTTTATCCTTTATCTCTTAAGTGCAAGCATTGAAATATTAAGTTTATGTTATATGTTTGTGGTTGAAAAGATGTGGAATTATCATCTTTATTAAAGCACCAGTAGAAAATGCTCCCCTAAAACAAAACATCAAGTTCATTTTTCTCTTCCTGAGGTAAAAACAGAAGGTCCCTTTTCAATTTGCATTATGTTTCTCCCTTAGGCTTTTTGTGTCTTTTTGAATTGCTTGTGAACACAAAATATCTGCATGTGTCAGAGACAATTAAAATAAAAATAAGGGAATAAATTTTCCCACAGGTAGAGACAAAGGGTAGGAAAGTTGCAAAGTCCATTTCCTTTGCCAAGTTCTGTGTGGTGTGGAAATATTTAAATAGGATGGCTGAAAAGTGCTAAATTGATTTTATTTTATATGAAAGCGATTCCTGTATAAAAGAGAAGCAACACTGTTTTTCAAATGCCACGCAATAGCTTAAAAAAGTACCTCCTTGAATTTGAAGATGGGGAGAAAAACAAATTGACAGGAAGCCTTGATTAGCACGGATTACCTAGAGCTGGAGAAAAATTCAGGTAGTGATCCACATATTATTCTGCATCTACCTGTAAGGACTTTTGAGGACTATCAGAGATGACGATATTGACAACACTGATGAGGATGATGATAAAAAGATTTACCACTTACTGAGTGTTGACAATATGTCAGGCACTGTGCTAAACTCTGGACATAGATCATCTCATTAATTCTCACCAAACCACAGAAGGTGGATTATAACCTGTCTACCTCATAGATAAGGAAATTGAACCTAGGGGAAGTTGCAAGTTTTACTCAAATGACTGGATATTGTTTTTAGCACTGTAGGAAGAATTACAAATATGTTTTAAGAGAAGGTAACTGCCTCTTAGGTTTCCTTTTATTCCTTCATTTTCTGTTTTCTGTGTAGTAAAATCTAATACAAACTCATAATTTCTTTTTCCCTAATAATGTAAATTTGACGTAGACTCCTAAATCTTGCCACTGTGACTGCCACAGAATGCAGGTAATCTGTTGATAACTTTTAGCTGTCTTTGTTGGTCAGTGAAAGGAATCGGGTATGGAAACTATAAGCAAAGTGGATTGTGATTCCATATTCAAGAGCACAATGACTTGTCAACAAAATTATTGAAGGAATCTTGGATATGGTTTACTTTTAATTTTTCTGGAAGTCAATTAAGCTGGCCATCAGACCTAATAACGTATCACCCAGTTTTATCATTAGATTTTTAAGTGTATTTTATTCTTAATGGTTAGAGTGACAGAAAATCAAGATGGAAGAGAACACAGAGTAAATTTATCTCTACAATTATGGTTGGGTCCTGAAGTTGTGGAGAATAGAAATAACAGATTCCGGTAGTTTTGGAATTGATTTAGCAATCGACTGTGCTGGCATCTCTCTGTCAATACCCCTATAGTGGTATCTTGAAGTCAAGCAACCAGAAAAGATACAACACAGAAAGAGCCTTTTTTTAATTTTCCATCTTTACATAGTTTATAAAAATATCAAGCCTCCTACTTCTTAAGTGAATTTGTTATTCTGCTTGTAATTTTTAAAAATATATTTTGTAAAAGTAATATTTTTTTGTCTTAGGAACCATCTTTTCTCTTATTTCTTCACTTTTGTGGTTGCACTCACATTCTCAATGACCAATAATTTGGTGTGACTTGGTTTTCAGTCTGAGTAAATCACAAAGTGTGTTGGAATCTGAAAGCAGTACTGAATACGTATAAATCCTGAACTATCAATTTTTGACTTGAGAATTATAACACATTAAATGTATTCATATTTAAGTATATGCCATGTTACAATTAACCGGTTGCTAAACAACAAACTTATTAGAATTGATACTTTTAAATTAGCAGGAATGATCAATTAAATTAAATAAGTAATAGCCCATTATACATTAGTCAATATGTTATAATGTGAAGGGGAGGGGCATACTTAGGGATTTAAAGAAAACAAGATTTTAGCTTAAAAATTTAGTGAAATTGTGTGATTTTCCTTGAAAAGTGTGCATTTTTAATTCTATTCAATTATGTACCTAAAGATTTATACATAAACATAATATTTTAAATATTTGCAATGGAAAAATTGATTTCTAATAGGATGAGATTTTTTTTTATCCTACAGCTACTCTTACTACTCAACACCTTAGAGAATAGGCATCCCCATTTTGGTAAAGAATTTTAGGTATTTTTGACTTTGGAAAACAGCATCTCAAAAACCTAATTTAAGTTTGTTAAAGCTTTGAATATTGAATGACCATTACTGATGGTCAAAAACATGTGTTGTTTCTAGTTTAAATCATCTCCAAATGCAACAAAGGGTAAAATGTCCATTAATAATTTCATTTCACCATAATACAGAGTCCTGCATTTAGGTATGTTTTAATTATTATAAAATGATTTCATTGACTATGGAATTCTGATGCATGATATAACAACATAACATTTATAATTAATTGAAATTGTTTAGCACTATTCTAAATTTCATCACATATTTTGTTCATTCTTGTCCCTTTATGCTCCTTCTAAAGGAAACACAAACACAAACACCACATATTGTGCAAAAACAGTCTACATCCGTGGGAATGTAGATCCATGGATGTTACTTATAAGTCACTCAGGTGAATTTGCAAGATGTCCAACTTCTTTGGGTTTCACTGTTCTCAGTTAACTCTAAGGCATCTCTGACACTAAAATGCTCTTCAGGTTACATCTGTAGGTGGAGATTTCTTTAGGCTGAAACACATCACAGTGGATAACTTACATAATCTTTCCACTTGATGAGGCCTGTAGATGTTCAGAATATATTGCAAGTTCTATGTCTTGTTTGAGCTATTTAACTCAATCAAGCTTTAATGAAGCAACCTTTCTTCAAGTTTGAGCTTTACTCAG